TTCTGCTGGCCACTTCTCCCTCTGCTGCTACTGCCCATCTCTTCCATGGTAATTTCGTCGTCGTGATCTTAATTGGTTTTCAACAGTCATAGAAAAGCTATGGCCCACTACCGGGACTGAACCAGGAGGGAGCCCAGAAAGCATAGTCAGCCTCTGAGCTTCCACACTAGGCCAGGAGAGCACAGAGGCTTCATGCAGAGCAACTGGTCTGAGCTCTGATGGGCTGGCCTTCTGCCTTGCTGTTACAGAGGAGCTACCAAGGACTTGGGGAACACAGATGGGAAGTCCCCTGGCCCCTGAGGGCAAAGCTAGATAACAGTGTGACAAGGAGTTGACAGCAAAGTCCTGGAGGACATGGGCTTCCTCACCCTGTGGAGAAGGCTGTGTGCGGCCCAGAGGCTCTGGCCGGGATGCTGTCTTGTCTCCCACACAGGCAGGTCCAAGGCTCCAGCCACCACCACTGGCTTGGGACCCACCATCAGATCAGCCCAGGGCCTGGGCTTCTGGGGCTGGCACTGAGATCACAGGCAGAGTCCTCTCCTGCTGCTCAGCAGCTGGGGTCCATCTCCGTGGGAGTGGAGCAGAGCGCGTTGGCCTCCTTCTCTGAGGTTACTCACCGGAAGCGGTGCTCAGCCAGCCTGTGCCAGTGGCTTTCTTCACATAGCCTCTGTTGGTAGCAAGGCTGCAATTCACTGAGCAGTCTCCTCATGCAAGACTGGGAAGCAGAAACGCAAAGGGAAGAGTGAGTTTCCTCCCTGGGAGTGGCAGGCTCCGGGGCCGCGTCTTCCCTCCGAGTCTTTTGCGACAGAAGCAGCCAAGGGTGGCCATGTGCACACCAGCCAGAGCACCACGGTCCGCGTCCCTGCCCGGTTAGACAAGCCATGTAAACTGTCCCATCATTGCAGAAATAAAAAAGGAAAAGGAAGCTCTCTCCAGGCCTCAGTTTCTCTGAAGATAATGCAAGATCGCATCCCTCCCTGGTGTACTCAATAGTGCAATCAGTACTGCTGTAAACACTCGTAACATTTGTGCTTACGTGGCGTACACCTAGCCAATATCACAGCGTACTTCTAGAAGTGAGCCCTTTAAAAATGAAAACAGATGAAGAACCTGTACTTTCACAGAGCACAGTGGAAAATGGGAGGGGTAATAGTTAACAGAGAGGTACTTCTGAAAAAGTTGGAGCCCTGAAACTCTGAGAACCTAAGCGGTCTTTAAGTGTATTTCTTTATGCTTACCACCCTAGAAAACGCAGGTGGGAGCTGGTTGGAGGCGGTTTCTTTACAGCACACTGCCCCAAATGGAAATTTAAAGGACATAGGATAGGCCATGTTCCAAAGATCAGAAGATCACAGACAGTGATTAAATCTTAGGAAGACTATAAATAAGGCGATGATTATGGACTTTGAACAGTAAATCAGATGACCTAACCATTAACTCTCTAAAGCTACACAAAACATTTATTACTGATTTATTTTTTTTAAAGAAAAACTGGCAAACATTGTCTTTGGAAAACAACAACTAGATCTTATGATTTTATTTTATTTATGATTTTATTATTTATTCTTTGAGTTAAAGAGATTTGACATATGAATCGGTCACTTCTGTGAGGTGTAGTTCATTTTTCCTTGTTCCAGCATTGTATCTTGTTATCTTAAGGCAGTTTCAAATTATTTCATCAACCTTGGTCTTCGCCTGTAATTTATACAGTGGAATTTATTTGCTCATTGATGTGAATAATTTTCAGTGGCTTGCCAAACAGCCTGTGGCAGTGGAAGACTCAAGCTGCAAATATTAGCCTTTCCTGTGTGAGTCCAGTGTAACAGAATCAAATTGAATTGCAGGCACAAGGTGGCTGGATTGTAGGCAGTCTGAACGAATTCAAAAGTCCTTGCTGTCGTCTGTAATTGAGAAAACAAATTGGGCTGCCCTCCTCAGGAGGCAAGGGGTGGGCTCTGTCCTGGGCTCCCGAGCCCCAGGTGAGATCAGAAGAAGAGCAGAGGCCAGCAGTGGTGGCTTTCCCTGGCCTCAGCTGTGCCTGGTTGTGCTGGGTGCTGGTCAGGTGGGGGAGGGAAGGTCAGCAGCCTGTGGTATAGTCCTCTGCTTCTCCACCAGCTACAGAGCTCACACAGGTGAGACTGAAGATGTGGCCAGGGACTTCACCGTGCAGAAAAGCAAGCTCTGAATGGCTACAAGCTGAGGCTGTGGCTAAAGTCCCAATAATCCCCAACCCTAATAATCTCCATTTGCACACTGACCTTCATCCTTTGGTAGGTGCAAGATTATTCTGGAAATCAGAGCTTTCTCCTATTTCTTGGATGATTTGAGTTTGATTATTTGGCTTGATTATTTGGTAACTCATGCCTGTAATCCTAGCTGCTCGTGAGGCTGGGAGCTAGAGGATCTGGGCTCAAAGCCAGGGAGCCTGGGGATGGAAAAGGCCATGAGGCTGTGTCCAAACGAATCAACAGAAAGCTCAGACAATAAGAAGTCTTAGGTTCATAACCTACCACTGCCCATAAAATCAACAGAAACAGAAACAAAACCGAAACGAAAACAAAAACAAGGCGGATGGGTTTTAAAACTCCTGGAATTATTATACGTAGCAAAGAAGGACTGACTTCATTTCATTTCTTTTTTACTACTCTTGGGGCTTGAACTCAGGGACTGGATGTTGTCCCTGAGCCTCTTTTAACCCAAGCCAGCACTGAAGTCACAGCACCACTTGTGGGTTTCTGGGGTTCACTGGAGATAAGAGTCTCACAGACATTCCTGCCCAGGCTGGCTGTGAACCACGATCCTCAGATCTCAGCTAGGATTACAAGCCTGAGCCACCTGTGCCCAGCTTTCATTTCTTTAAATGCAATTTCAAACTAAACAAACTTTCCCTAACGTTCTACTTTCTCTAACATATTTTGTTGATCATTAACTATGATGTTTGAGAGTATTATGAAATCTAGATAGAAAGATTCGTTGATGGAAAACAGCTCTAAAGTGATTGATGTTGAATTTTATGCACCATTAATGTAGACTTATTTCTCATGGTTTTCCGGCTTATCATAATAAAATGGAGCAGGACCTAGTTCCTGTGTGTGTTGGGGTGGGCTGTTTGTCTCTGGGCTTCCTCTCCAAGGCTTTGGGACCCCCAGCCCACCTCTGTGGGACATTCTGTGATGCAGAAGGCTTTGGGTGCTGGGCAGACAGCCTTGGGGGGTGACCCCGGGCCTCAGAAAACTCGGGTGTGTTCCACCTAGAAAACTACCTCCTAGGTGCCAGCCTCCCACCCCAAGGGGCCAGCCGCGGTGGGGGCTTCGCCCTGGATGGAAGAGTTAGGAGAAGGGATGCAGGGAAGGGTTGCTTCTTGCAAGCTATGGGGGGGTGGGGGGGGGGGGAACGTGTCCTGGGGTGTCTTCTGCAGACCTCAGATCTTGGTTCTTCCTGCCCGTGGGCCTGGGCTGGGGTCCCAGGCACCCAACCCCACCCGCAGCCCTTCCCTCAGAGAGGCGGTGCCCGGACCCGCTGCCCCCCGCGGCCCGCGCACCTGGGGCGCGCGCTGCTCGCCCGGCCGGGACGGCACGGGTGTGGCTCGGCCCGCGTCCTTTCTCTTTCGCTTTCCTCTGGGGGAGGGAGGGCGGGACTCCCCTGGGGAGGGCGGCCGGGGAACCCCAGTGCCTTGCTCCCCGCCGTCGGAGCCGGGTCCTGCCCCCGTCCCCGCATGCGCTCGCCGCCGCTCGCCCTGCAGCCGGGACTCCATGGAGGTACCGCGCGGCGCTGCCCCGATGGGGGGGCGGTGGTTGGCGGTGGAGTGGAACTTTCCCCGAGAGCCCACGCCCAGCCCCACCCGGCTCAGGCCCCGCACCTCGCGGGCCCCTCCGCCCCGCTTGCGCCGGCGCTGCCGGTTTTGGGGGTGTTGCTGCGCGCACGCGGGGTCCCCCGCCGCGGTCCTGCCGCGCGCGCAGCGCATCCTCCCGCTTCGAGGGGCGCAGGGCGCCGTCCCGCGCGCCCCGCGCGCCCCCCGCGCCCCGGGCCAGCGATCTGCGCCCGCCACGCTGCGGAGCTGGGAAGCCCAGGCCGCCGGGAGACTTGGGTTCTACACCCAAGAGCTCAAAGGTCACCACCAGGTACCGCGGCGCCCCGCACCCCCGTTCCCGCGTCCTCTCCCGGGCCCCGCCTCCCGCTCCCCGCAGGCTGGGGAGATGGGGCGCTCGCGAGCCCCTGGATTTCCACCTCTGCTGTCGGAGGGGGGCCCCTCCCGTGGAGGCAGGAAACCGGCGTCGAGGGTCGGCCACGGCCGGGCGCGCCACGCGAGGGCCGGGCAGCCGCGCGGTTCCCAGGGCTCCTGGTGTGTGACCTAGCAGTGTGTGCGGAGCTGCTCGCACGGTTGGCAGGCGCTCGACAGATCCAGCCAGATGGGGAGAAAAAGCAAAGCAGCCAAGTGGCTGCCACGGGCTGGCCACCTCCCAGGACGCACTGTAGGACTTCCCTTCTAAAGTGCGGCTCAGGGCCGCGTCCGGGCCGCGCTCTTCTCCTCCTCTCCCGCGGGGACCCTCTGGGCTGGCTGGGTTTCTGGGTTAGGATCCAGGGACGGGACGGGTGGCCCGCTGGATGGAAAGCGTCAGCGTCCGCGCAGTGCACAGGCACAGGTGAGCTCCTGGGGGTTGCTTCCAAAGCCACCTAGCCTAGCAGGACCCGTAGCTGCTGGCTCAGCCTGTAATCTCATCTGTCCGGGGGCCTGAGAGCTGAGGACCAAGCTGAGAGCCAGCCCAGGCTGCAGTCTCTGGAGATTTTATTATTATTTTTGAATCTCCAGTTAACTAAGCAAAAAGCTAGAAGTGGAGGGGTGGTTCAGGGGGTAGAGCACCCACCTTGAGAGAGAAAGCTACACGGCAGGCTCAGGCTCTGAGTTCAAGTCCCAGGACTGGCACACACACACACACACACACACACACACACACACACACACACACACACACAAATAAATAAATGAAGTGATATAGGGAGGAGGTATAAAAGAAAGAACACCAAGATATTGATATTGAGAAGCTACAGCCATAGCCATTTTAGAGGTCTTAAGTAATGAAGAAGCTGATGGTTCACTTAAAGGTAAGAAGCATCTCAACAATTGTTTTAATGGTGTTTGGTGTTTGTTTTGTTTCTATTTCTCCTGTCCCGGGTCAGATGGGGAAGGAAGGGTTCTTTTTGCACTCTGACCTGCTTTTGCCACTGGGACGAGCCAGGGCCGGTGTTGATTCCCAGGCTCAGAGCTTCTGACAGGTTGTAGTTTCTCCCATAAATTTGGGGTGTGCCCTCTGCACATTTGCCCTGGGCAATACAAAAATCTGTTCTTGTTGAAAGTTTCCTGCTACTTCCTCTGGGTTTAGCGAAAGGAATATATTGTTCCTACTCTACCTCTTACTTCCTGCTGTGGCTCCCTTCCAGGGCCTGAGGGTGCTCTAACCTCGCTCAGACTGGCCTCCAGCATTAAATCCTCCTGTTTCTACCTCCCGAGTAGCTGGGGTCACAGGCATGAATCACCACGCCCAGCAAAAATAATAGGATGGTTTTTGTTTTAATTGCAGAAATTAAGACAGTAAGTGTCAAAGCGCCATTACAAGACATGGAGTTTGCCAGTGAAATGCATATTTAGAAACTTAATCCGGAGGATGACCTCAATGTCACTGTGACCCAGAGTTTGGAAACTAATCCTAGGAGGTTCTCTGTGTCAGGCTTGCTGACTCTGATGGATTTCTGAAAGGGAGCCAGAAATGCTGTGTGTGTGTGTGTGTGTGTGTGTGTGTGTGTGTGTGTGTGTGTGTGTGTGTGTGTGTGTGTGTGTGTGTGTGTGTGTGTGTGTGTGTGTGTGTGTGTGTGTGTGTGTGTGTGTGTGTGTGTGTGTGTGTCCTGTGTCCTGTGTCCTGGGAAAACACTGTTACTTCAGTATGCTTTTCAAATAGGTCTCTGAACCAAAGAAGTTTTAACTTGTTTTTGCAACTTACAAGATTGTCTGGGTTTTTTTGTTTCATTTCCCCTGATGTTTTTGTTAAATTGTATTTATTGTGTAACAACTACTGTTCTGAAGTTTGGGTAATAATACTGACAGTACTCTCTACAGATTCATAACTTGAACTTGAGCCATGATTAGCAGCCAACGTATTTGAGTCTTCTTACTAAATACTGTTCTAAGTATGATTTTTTTCTTTTTTTTGCCGGTCCTGGGGTTTGAAATCAGGGCCTGGGCTCTGTCCCTGAGCTTTTTCTTCCTGGCTTTTTGGTAGTTAATTGGAGATAAGAGTCTCACAGACCTGCTTGCCTGGGATAATTTTGAACCACAATCTTCACATCTCAGCCTCTGGAGTAGCTAGGATGATAAGTGTGAACTATTGGCACTGGGCACCAAGTGTGATTTTTTTTTAAAGCCTCCTAATGAACTAACTCCTTTGGTGGGACGCTTGCTTTATAGCCGAGTAAGTTTAGTATAGAATAGCTAAAGAACTTAGCACAGGCTGTGGGGCTGGGGTGGTAGAGCTCAGAGGACAGGTTTAAGAACACTGCTGCTTTTGTAGGATGGCACCATTCCCACAGAAAGAGTTCCTACAAAGGAGTTAGGGGTGTGGCTCAGCAGTAGAACAATTACCCAGCATGCAAAAGGCCCTAGGTGTGATCCCCAGCACTCTCTGCCCCCCCCCCCCCACTGCATAGTTCCTACCTTATGCCAGGCACTCTTTTATTTTGGGGTCATGTTATAATGATAGACTGTATTGGCTTTATAATAAATGTTTGACTGGAAAGTCACAGAAAGGGACCAGCTGGAGGGTGGAGGGCAAGACAGGGCAATCCGGAGTGAATTTGGTCAAAGTACGTTACATACATGCAGAAAAATGTCATAAGGAAACCTGTTGCTTAAAATTTTTTTTATTGATTCTGTAAAGATGATGTACAGGGTTACAGTCACGCAAGACAGATAGTGAGCACATTTCTTTTTGGACAGTGTCACCCCTTCCCTTACTCTATCTTAAGTTCCCCTTCTGTCCCCACCCACAGGTTGTATAGTTCATTTCCAACATGGCGTTCAGTGAGTACCACTGCTGCATTCCTTTACCTTGTCTCTCACCCTCCCAAAGACAGATAAATGAACAAACAAGACAAAAAGAAAACACAAACAACAGTGGAGGAAATCCTCTTGTTTCCATTTCTTGGAGTTCATTTTGATCAATATAATTTTATATGATTAGAGGCACACGGGCATTGCATCTCTGTATTCCTTTTCTAAGAGTATTCCCTTTTAGTCTCACTGTGTGTGAATGCTTAAAATCCTGTATAATTTATCACGTCCCAGTGTACTTTCAATCCATCTTCCACACGGGAGAGAAAATATACACCATTTGTCTTGCTGAGTTTGGCTTACCTCACTTAACATGATTTGTTCTAGGTCTATCCATTTCCCTGCAAATGACATAATCTTATTCTTTCTAACGGCTGTGTAAAATTCCTTGTGTATAGGTACCACATTTTTTTGGATCCACTCCTCTACTGTAGGGCATCTGGGCTGTTTCCACGACTCGGCTCTTGTGAATAGGGCAGCAGTGAACATGGATGTGCAAGTGTCTTTGCTGTCTCCTGGCTTATGACGTTCTGGGTAGATGCCCAAGGGTGGTTTGGCTGGGTCACAGGGAAGATCTATGTGTAGGTTTTAGAGGAACCTCCAGATTGCTGTCCAGAGTGGTTGTACCAGTTTACACTTCCACCAACAGTGCAGTAGGGTTCCCCCAATCTCACCAACATTTGTTGTTGTTCAGATCCACAGTGTTGGCCAATCTGACTGGGATAAGATGGGACCATTGGGTTTTATTACCTTTGAAAAGATAATAAAAGGATCTGTACAAAGGGGTTTCAATCTAACAGGTCAGTTCATGAGGGCGATGCGTTTCCATCAATGTCACCCCTCACTCTTCTCCCCTCAGTGGATAAAAAAAGAAATGGATGAATGTATACTGAAGTAATTATTGCATACATGAGGGAAGACTTAAAAATAAGCAAATGCTACTTGTCTAATTGACATTATATTTAAAGATATTCTTGTAATCAAAATGTTCATTTGAGTATGTGGGTTTGGTTCCTTGGAGAAATAAAAATAAAAATATAAATTTTATGTTCTCTGAATGAAAACATTTGTCTAATATGCATAAGTCTGCTGAAGGAGCTTGACAAATAGGCAAAATTGGATTGATCTATGTTTCTGTATCTATATATCTATATATCATCTATGCATCTATGTATCAATGTATCAGTGTGTCATTGTATCTCTATCTATCTATCTATCTATCTCTCTATCTCTCTATCTCTCTATCTATGCAAATGGAAGTTTGGGATTCTTGGACAGGTTTGAGCAGATTTCCCTATTACATGACAAGTTCAAATAGTTAACTATTTGGAACATCCTCTTTATCTCTTTCCAGACTGTATTGATTGGAGAATTAAGTAGCCAAGAAATCTCCACAGAGATTCTGAGGTCAAAATTGTTAGTGTTAACCATATTGTTCCAGTGGGAACATGAAAGTTACAGAGGAAACCCGAGCTACTTTTCACACGCCAAGCTGTCATTTCCTTGCACGCCCTCACCCGGCTCTAGTCCCATGGCAAGCTCATCCTACTGGGATGCCAACCTTAATGATCTCTTTTCAGATGTCATGATTTCTAGGAAAAGCCAGGTGGTTAGCATATTGAAAAGTAAAACACGTGCCTTTGCCATGTAGCAGCTACTGGATACCATTTGGGATGATTTAATGCTATGTATTACTTGAGTTATATTAAAATTTTTGTTTTGTTTTGTCTGTTTTGGTGAGACAGGGTTTTACTCTAGATAGCCTATATAGCTCAGGCTGGCTGTGAATTCATAATCTCCTGCTTTAGCTTCTCTAGTGCCGGGATTATAGATGTGTGTCTCTGCAGCCAGCTTGCTTGCTTGCTTGCTTCCTTCCTGCCTTCCTGCCGTCTTTCCTGCCTGCTGCCTGCTTTCTTTCCTTCCTTCTTTCTTTTATTTTTTCCTTGAAATTGTTCAGTGCTGGAATCTGAAACAGGACATAAGAGTTTCTCTGATCTCAGTTTAATTCAGCCATATCAACTTCGACACATTTTACATTTGTATATATATCTCACAGGCTTTTAGTTATACCGTAGGGTAGAGAACTATATAGTATAGATCCCATAGAAATGGTGGGTCTGAATTCAATACATAGCTGTGCCCTTTCCAACTGTTCATGATTCTTCCAAGCCCCGACATCTGGGAAGACAAAATCAGAATGATACACAATATTGTGCCAAATGAAGGGACTGAAACTGAGATTGGGCCTCCAAGAAGAAGCTGTTGCAGTGGAAAGGCTGATGGGGTCGGGGGAGGAGCCAAAGGAATCCAGAAAGTTCCTAAATCCTTTTAACACTGAATCATTCTTCTCTTTTATTGGAAGTTTCATCATGTAACTGCAAATTAGAATCTGAGAAATGAAGTCTCTTGTGCATGCTATTACCACAGATGTCTGAAATTTTCAAAGTTTTGTTGTTGTGATTTGGGGGTTCAAACTCCTAGCCCGGGACATGAGCCACATTGCCCACTCCTATAATTATTCTTTCCTTATACATTTTCCTGCTAGTGATTTTATAATTTAGCTTTTCTGTATTTTTGTTTTCTTTATTTTTCTGTAACAAAAGGAACTATATAACATTCAGCTTTGCATTGATGGATTTTTATGGTTAATATCATTATCATGAGTTTTCTGAGGATTTTGTTCATTTATTTATTTATTTATTTTTGTTGGTTGTGGGGCTTGAACTCTGGGCTTGGGTGCTGTCCTTGGGCTCTTCAGCTCAAGGTGAGCGCTCTACCACTTAAGCCATAGCACCACTTCTGGTTTTCTAGTGGTTTATTGGAAATAAGAGGCTCACGAACTTTCCTGCCCAGGCTGGCTTTGAACTGCGATCCTCAGATCTCAGCCTCCTTAGTAGTTAGGATGACAGGCGTGAGCCACTGGCACCTGGCTACCAAGGACTTTATTTTAAAAGATATTCTTATTTATGTTACCTTAACATCATTATACCCTTAACCAAAA